TATTGTTTGGAGTCAAAATCAGGAATTAGAGTCTTGCACTGGCACTTGAGAAGAAATTGGGATGATTGATGATGCATTCGAGAGATAATTGAGAGCTTTGGAGGTCACCGGGAGGTTCACGATGAAGATTTGATGACAAAAGTGCTCTAGGATTGGCTACGGGGTCAAATGAAGAGAAATGGAGCTTGAAAACGGCGTTCGGGATGACCTTCTGTCAATCCTTAAAGCATAAGTTTTTGTAGAAACGTCCAAAGAACACGATTCAAGTTCCATATGAAAGCCAACTTCAAGAGATACAAATCATAAGAAGACACCATTGCGAGAATCTGAGAGTATAAAGGTGAAAACAGATGATGAAGTCAGATGATCGCTGTTGCGATTTCAGAATGCGACCTTCCACTATTTTATTCATATCTTCTAATTCGATGATCCAAATCCAGTTTTGCAAATTTTGATGGATAGAAGATTTCATTAGCTACAACTTGCATGAAGGAAGCATTGTCAAATTCGAAGAGAAAACAACGCTAGAGCTACTGCCAGTCAGGCACGCCGTGCGTGCTGAGTTTGCACGTCGTGCGTGCACAAGAGCAGAAGCGAGGAAGCTACTGGAGGGTACGCACGCCGTGTGTGGGCGCGAAATGCGCGGTTTGTTCCGGACGCACGGACACCACGCACGCTATGCGTAGCACTGTGCATGGGTCCGAAAACCTAGTTTCAGACGAATTTTGCCTTTTTCTTTAAATAAGGCCTCTATGCTCTCATTTAAGGGGGGACGAACATTACGGAGAGGCCTAGCGACGAAATTACTTGCGTTTTTAAGTTGTTTTCTTCAAGAACCCTGGGATTATTTGTAAGTTCATATTTTTAATTAATGACAATTATTTCTATTCTTCCCAATTCTATTGATTTTTCAATTATGAGTCGGGAGTAATTTTAATTAGGGATTTGGGATTGATGAAGGGGTTAATCACGATGTATGGCTAGTTTCTTGATGGAATAATTGCATGAATGCCGTTTAATTTGTGTTTGTATATTATAATTGATATCTTTTGTAACCTGGAACCGCAGCTAGAATTACAATTGCTTGTAGAATAAATTAAGAGAGATCTAGTGTATTCTAGGACACATTCACACACACTTAATCGCTCGCTAAGAGATTAGTAGCGATTAAGGGGCCGTAAGCTCGCTCGTCTTGGCAATTATTTAGGATCCTGTCATATGAGAGATCAGCCTGGTCCCCTTAATTATTGTACTCTACGCCCCGATAGCGGTAAGAACTTAGTATTGATTAACTAGGCTCAATTAAATTAATTTCATGTGATTAAGCCTGATCAGCCAGAAATCTGATTACCCCGAAATCAATCTCTGCTCCCTTCATCGTTAATTAGAGAGAACCCAATCTTTTATTTTAATCGTTCATTCGCATTAGTTTAATTTCAATTCAATCAACCAATCTCGCACGACGCTTTTATTTTGTTTTGTTTTAATCGCTGAATTTAATTAATTCTTGGTTCCTTTTTGTCCGTCCCTATGGAGACGGTACTCGTACTTTCACCACTATTCTACTATCAATTTAAGTGCGAGAAAACTAACATCAATGTGAGAGAAAATTCTCCTGCTCATTTGTTTAAGCCGGCTTATTTATCTTATACTCATACTCCTTATTATACCAAAAAACAATACGTATGAGAGAGAAAATTATCGCGCTCAATTGTTTTAGCTGGACTTATCTTCTTATTATTCCTAAAAACATTACGTGTGAGAGAGAAATATCTTCCCCTCAAGCTTTAGCCGGGTTATCTTCTTATACCTATAACCACTATGTATGAGAGAAAAAAAATTCCTGCTCAGTTGTTTTAGCCGGATTATCTTATACTCCCTCCGTCCGATTTTACTTAGCCAAACTTGACTTTTCAAGTCAATGACGTCTAACTTTGACCGATTATATGTTTATATAGAGAAAGTATTAATGATATGAAAATGATATGAAAATGTTCTTTGTTAAAAATACTATCATAAAAGTATAAAATTATTAAATTTTGCATAAATATATTAGTTTAAATAATTAGTCAAGGTTTACCACCTTTGACTGAAAAAGTCAAAGATGGCTAAGTAAATTGGGACGGAGGTAGTACCTAATATAAAAGCACTACGTATGAGAGAGAAAATTCTCCCTCTGAATTGTTAGCCGTTTTATGTTCTTATACATAAAAGCACTACGTATGATAGAGAAAATCTTCCTCTCAAGATTTAGCCGACTTCTCTTATATATATATATATACCTAAAAGCACTACGTATGAGAGAGGAAATTACATCTCTCAATTATTAGTCTACTTATCTTCTTATATCTAAACGCACTACATATGAGAGAGAGGAATTTTTCGCTCAATTATTGGTTCGCTTATCTTATATATATACCTAAAGCACTACATATGATGGAGATGATAATAAAATTTTTTAACTATTATATTTTTTGAGGGAAGATTTGTCTTTTAATGAGCTATCTCTTTCCTTAACAGATATTGATCTCATATCAAAAATAAAAAAATTATGAATTTTGATATATTTTATGTAAGCATTGGAGCAAAAATAAAAAAGTTATAACACTTCAAAAAAATGGGTTTTTATACATATTTCCAATTTAGAAATTTGTCTATGTTTAACATATTCTAAAATAAGAATTGGAATATCTAAAATCCTACTTGCGGTTGTGAAGTAGACATTTTGCAGAAAATAACACCAATGTTCAACAAATCAAACATGATTTATAAAAATTAAAATCGATCTATCCCCTAGCTAAAGGTCATATGATGGAGATGATGATAAAAAAAAAATTAACTATTACTCCCTCCGTTCTATTGGACTTTGCCAACTTTTCTTTTCTGGTTCTACCAAAAAACTTTGCCACTTTCCAATTAAAACAACTAATATGTAGTTCTGCACATTTCTACTTTTCTTGTTTCTCACCTATTTTACACTTGGCAAAGTCCAGCGGGACGGAGGTAGTATAACTTTATATTTCTTATTGTTGATGTTCCGTATGACTCTCATTGAGCGGCTTTAATAGACAAAGTGACATTAAAAACCAAGGACCTATTTTTCGTTGACAATACTATCATATATTGTACATCTTCTTCATTTGGAATGTTATAGAATCCGTTTGGTAACATTGAAAATGGTTGAATCGGCTGAATCTATTAATATTGATGAAATTCTAGTTGTAACATCTGAATCGGCTGCATATGTTAAATTATGTAAAAAGTGCATTTGAAATCTATTTTATTAATAAAATAGGGAAAAAATGAAAAATAGCTAAAAATGATCATTTTCAGTAAATTCAATCAATTCAGCTTGAAAAGTAATTCTAGGTCTCTAGTCTTACTCATTTTGATTTTTACACATTTTAGCGCTCGTTAATTAGTTATACTTTTATACTCCCTCCGTCCCGCAAAGAAGTTTCCGCTTTCCTTTTTTAGTAGTTCCAAAAAGAAGTTCCTCTTTCTTTAAATGGGAAGTTATCTACATCAAAATAGTGCAAAACGGTGCAAAATAGTGTCAAATAGTGCAAAACAGTGTCGAAACAGTGTCAAAATAGCAAAATTTACCGCCTCGTAAGTTTATTTCCTTAATATGTGTGTAGGTCAAACCGGGAACTTCTTTGCGGGACGGAGAGAGTATATTCAATATTGATCTCATATGAAAGATAACAAAAAATTATAAATTTTGATATATATTTTGTAAAAGTTGAAATAATAATGAAAAAGTTATAACACTTCAAAAAAAAATTGGGGGTTTGATACTTTGGGCCCCACCCACTGCAACTCCATGTCCGTTGCCTTCTTCCTTGCCTTGGTAAAGGATGACACCCTATCCCTGAGCCCCCCAACACCGACTGGACGGTACATTGAGAGGATGTAATTTGGACTATAATCACAATTTGACAGATAGAGAGTGTGGTTCTGTCCCTGGTACTTGTAGAGGCCCTATGCATTTTTTAGCATAGTAACCTCTTATCACAGTTGTCGAGATTCGAATCCGGGACCTAACCCTTGTGAGACTCTCTCTCTACCAGTTGAGCTACGCCCACCGGTTTCTTCCTCTCCTTGGTTATTCGATACTTTTGAAGTAAAAAAGTGGCCACGTGGCTTTAAGATAGCAAATGAGAGAATTGTGCATAGTTAGACATGTATGATTTTTTGAGGTCAATTCTGTCTTTTAATGAGTTATCTCTTTTCTTATATATAAATAGATTTGTAAAATGTCATATCAATGCATGTTTCAAAAGTATTATATCACATAAAATTCCATTTTGAAATTCATAGGAATTGTTTATACATATAATTTAATAAGTTTTATAAAAGAAAAAATGAATTAGAAGATGGTGATGTTCATCGTTAGGCTCCTAATACTCAATAAAATAAGTCTGATGTTCACCAAATGTAAATTAATGCTCATTTAGCGAAAGCCGTGATTTTTCTCTGAAATTACGAAAATGTAACCACCTCAAAAAATTGGACCTGGTTATGGACTACTTCGTATATTAGTTGATGGGCCCTTTGTCTTCCTTAATTGGACCGGATGTACTCTAATCACCATACATAGGAGTCTGGCTCCTCTCCAGTACATACGGTACTGGAGGAGTCCATTTGATTTAATAATAGGATGCCACATGGGGTCATGCCCACATATAAAATTAAAGGTCTGGATACGCAGTACTCATTTGCCCCACTCGTGGGCTTCTAGGAAGTACTTAAAGTTATCTATTTTTATTTCTTTCTTCTCTATTCCACTTGTGACCAACCGGAAGTTAAAGTTTAAAAAATTGCTTAATTTAGAGAATGGGTCATTCAAAAAATTAATAAAAATTGTAAATTACTTATTTAACAAGTTAAGCAAATCAAGGAACATCAAAATCACAAGTAACACTTTAATGTCTATCTAAATCAATAAGCGTCCCTATTTTGTATTCGTAATGCAAATTAACAACTAAAACAAAAGCTAGCTTCAAGTTTCAATTTAATAAGTCTGCAAAATGCTATCCACAATGTAAATTAACAAAAAACAATAATAACATCACTACGTACTGCAACATCCAAATTAGCAAAAACATATCAAAGTCAGCATTCAAGCTCTCACTTAATTGAGTGGATCTCATACCTGCGGTGAATGTTATGCGAACATATGCCCAAGCCCATTTTTCCTTCACCAAAAAAATGGTACGAAGCCATGAGTCACTAGAAACATCATAATCAACAAGTAGAGCATTCCACGCATTCTCCAATTCACTTTCTGTTTCATGCAAGTCAATGCATGCTTCAAAATCAATGCAAAAATGCAAACTATTTTGGTATAGATGGTTCACATGCTTAAGTGCATTCTGTCTAATATGCCAAGTGCATAATGCATGAAATGATTCTGGCATCACAATCGAAATTGCTCTAGCCATTGCACCATCTTGATCAGTGAAAATTGTTTTTGCTTTTTTCCCGCTCATCACTTTGAAAAATGTCTCAAATAGCCATTGGAATGAAGGAATAGTTTCATCATATAACAATGTTGCTCCAAAATGACTGTTTTTCTATGATTATTGAGTCCCACAAATACTCCTAATGGACGATAACCCTTGTTTGTCTTATGTGTCGTGTCAAATGAGACATCGCCAAAATATCCATAATCATTTACCATTTGTGCATCTGTCCAAAAAATCTTAGTTACCTGGTCTTCAACGTCCATTTGAAAGTCATAGAAGAATGAAGGATTTTCACTCTTGCTTTTGAAGCACATCATCAATGTGCCAAGTTCGCCATACTCCAAGGCCTGTTTTGTTTTTGTTCTTAGGCAATTTCTATGGTCTTTCCTGGTATAGCCAACACTCTCTATTCCACCTACTTGTCGTGATACATATGTATGAAAATCTCTTGGCTTTAGTCCAGACGCATCAGCCGATACAATTTAGGATGCTAGGGCAGGGAGCACTACCCGTAGTGCAAGAGCACCAAAGCGTTGATTGACTTTTCCATTCATTTTCATTATTCCAAAAATATTTTTAGTTTAAAAACGAGCAAGTGATAATAACTTTATGAAAAATCATAATTGCGGAAGCATCCATATTTTATACATAACACTTAAAGGTTTAGTGTTGCTGTTACGTCATACTATCATGTTGACTACATATTAATTATGCAAACTAAAATGAGGTATTACTAAATGCAAGTGTGACTCTGTGCTGATTGGCAGGTTGCTCCCAAATGTTTTCCTCCTTGAATTTTGCCTCGTACCGACTACGTACCTATGCGAAGGACAAAAATTCAACATGCTAAGCAAATCTTGCTTAGTGGTGTTCATTCTTTCTCGATACAATTTCAGTATCAAATATCACATAGTAAATCAACAATTAAGAATGATATCCACAAATATACTAAATTGAAAAATATAAACTTAACCATATTGATTTTACCCGTTTGACTAATAAATCTCAAAATAATATATTTTACTTCAAGAAGCTTTTCAATTCATTTAATAATAATAAACAAGATCAATTCCTTGATAACATTTGTGTATTAAACTTAATTTAGAGGGAATATTATGAAATGGATCAAAATAATTATTCTGAAGCATAAAGTACCATTTCATTCGTAGTAGCTAGTTCAATTTATTTCACTTTGTTCAAAGTAGTTATTGTAACGTATTTCAAAATATACAATATCCTGATTAAAATTATACTCTTTAATTGAGTTGTTATTCTCTCGTAATTTTATTTATAACATATGGAGAGATATAAATATACCTTTCTTTTCAGGATATTAAGTGTAATATCGTAACTTTATTTAATCCTTAATTTATTTGTTGTCCCTCATATTCAACATTAGCTTATTTCGGAATAAATAATTCACGATGTAAAATCTAATTCTTCATTTGAAGGTAATATTACATTCTCCTATCGTCTTTCATTTTCATATTCATATCATTCTTTCCATTTTCTCAATTTCTATCTGTGCATTTTTATCTTCAATTCTTTCTCTCCATTTTCACCACTTTATGTCAGAGTCAAAATTCACATGAGCTATATCATAGCTGCAATCCAACATTCCATTCAATTTTCTTGTTGTCTCACTTTAACTTCCAATTGCTCAATTTTCATCTTCTGCTCAATGTCAATCTCTCTATTTTCTTTTTCATAGCGTTATTCATTTATTAAGTTTATGAAAATAATTAATACAACTCACTTCTCTCTCTAGCTCTCCCTTGTCTATAGGAGTTAATACTCCATCACATATAAAATGCTCGGTTTACGTATAGTATCATCATCTTATCTAATTCAAACCAGAATATATATGAAATGATAACTATCCAATACATAAATATCAAGTTATAAATAATGTATTTCTATGCATGTATTGTAACGTACTTTATATATTAAACCCGATTTTGATTAACAAAAATAATTCGATCCTCATATCATACTTTCAGTATTTAAACCATTAAAATGTAAACTCACAGTTTAATTTATAAACACAGTTACTTAAAACATACCACTAAAATCTGTAGAAAACTTAAGTAAAGGTAACACCTTTTTTCCAACTTAAATAGTTCACCGTTTATTTTAAATTAATTCCCAAACGATTATATTTTGATAGTATCAATATACCATCTGCTCTTAAGCAATACTTATAATTTGTAGACTTTGTTATAAAGCATAATGTTCTCTTGAGAAATTATATCTCAACATATAAAAGTAAACCTAAAGTGTCCATCCACTTAAATAGTAAAATTTAGAAACAAATATAACAATAAATATGAAACAATAACAATATAATTTAACATAAATTTAGGGTAGAAGAAGGAATGAACACAAACCTTCAAAACAAATGCAAGATTTTTCCTAAGATTCATTTCATTCTCCATCTCTCTTTTCCCTTCACTTCTTCTCACAGCCGGTGCTCCCTCTTTCCTTTCTCTTTATTCAACATTATTGTAGTTTTCTAATAAGTAAAATGTAAGTAATTTTATTTTTTTTATTTATATGTAGCTGAACTTTTATAAATGAGTAGCCGTAATGTCTATATATATTTGAATGAATCTTTGTTTGTTTGTTGAATGAGTAGCTGCGTGTCAATGCATGTCACTCATGCATTTGATCTTATTTTTATATATCTTAGGAAAAATTGACAAGAATAATCCTACCTTTCACTGATCTTCTCATAATAATCTCACCTTTAAATAATCCCAAAATAATCCCAGCTTTATCCCTCATCTTCTTTCATTGGACCCTGACCAAGTTTTTTTTACCTTTTTTAAAAATCTTATATAAATAATCTCACATTTATAAGGATGTGATTAAAAGGTGAAAGGTGAGATTATATATATAATTTTCAAAGAAAGAGTAAAAAACATGGTCAGGGTCCAATGAAAGAAGATGAGGTGCAAATGTGAGATTATTTTGGGATTATTTAAAGGTGAGATTATTACGAGAAGACCACTGAAAAGTGAGATTATTCTTGTCAATTTTTCATATATCTTATTAAACTATTTTATAAACTTAGTTTTGCCATGTGTCTATGGAAACATAGACTCAAGTCTTCCTTTCTTGTTTCTTATGCATGACAATTTGTCCATTATGCATGGCCTATGATAAGTGTACATAGGCTCCACTATTGTTATTATTATTACAAAATAAAACCTCCGTTTCATTAAAAAAAATGTTGACTCTTCTAAATTAGTTAAATTTCCAGATTTAATATTAATGTTAATTGCCTTCATAATTGTTTTCTTTAATTCGTGTTGTCTACTTATCAAAATCTTTAGGCAAAATTTTCATTTTATAAATTTTCATTTATTTACTTCATATTATAATTTTAAAGTATATAGAATTGAGGGTGTTACACGTGCCTGAGTCATGTGACGATGAGAACGAATCATGTGAACATAATCAAGAGATTGAAGAGGGTGATTATGTTCATCTACAAAGTCACTAACCTTGTACTTTTCTCTTCCGATCAAGTGAAATTACCATCTGGTTCTAGTTTCCGCTCTCGGACACTTTGTCAAGTTGTCTCGTTTGTCTGTAGCAAGAGAATCTCCTTGAGGTTAATATTCCATCCTTTTTGCTTTTATTGCCATATTCTCGACGAATGCCGAATCCATATCTCGTGCTATATGCATTATAAAACTCATATGCTTCTACTTCATATTGAAACTCCATATTCAAATGCGGCATATGTGTAGCTACTCTCACGAACGTCCTGTGTGCTATTGGTATTGATATTATTAACCCAGTCCTCTACTCCCACAATTGGAATTGATGAAGCATCCATATTTCATGAATGAGAGTGTTAGAAAATAGAAGAGGTTGTTGGTTGTATGAATAGAATAAGTGATTTTAGTGAGGTGTAATGTAGATGATGTGTTTTAGAGGAGAGCTCTTGTCTCTAGAAAAGTAGTATTGTATTGATGTTTCTTGGTTTTGCTTGGTTTGCAAATGAGTACAATGAGTCCTATTTATAGGAGCTAGAGGATCATTCTAGATCCTTATTAAATGCTATGATTCTAGAGTATTCTACATCTATGTCTAATTACTCTAGATTTTACATAAGAATTCTCTAGTAGAGAATTTTCTAGAATACTTTCTAGCTTTAACTCTCTAGATCATCTCTAGCCTTTTCTACATAGAATATTCTAGATAAATGCATCACTATTTAATACTCCTCCTTGATGCATTTGTCGGTGACTCCAAGCATTCTTCGCAGAAACTGGAATCTGTCTCTTGGCAGGGCCTTCGTGAAAATATCTGCCAATTGTTCTTCTGTTGGGCAGTACTTCATCTCAATATGCCCCTTTGCTTGGACATCTCTCAAGAAGTGATACTTGATATCGATGTGCTTAGTACGATTGTGCTGAATTGGATTTTTAGCCATCGCAATAGCTGACTTGTTGTCGCAAAATATTTGAGTCGCAGAACTTTGCAATTCACCCATGTCTTCTAATATTCTTTTTAGCCATATAGCTTGGCACGCTGTTCCGGCTGCTGCAACATACTCGGCTTCGGCTGAAGATAGTGCAACAGAATCTTGCTTCTTTGATCCCCATGAGAAAATTCCCGAACCCAGCTTAAATGCGTAACCGGAGGTGCTTTTCATGTCATCTTGAGATCCAGCCCAATCACTGTCGCTATATCCAGTTAGTCGTGAGTCAGGAGTTGTTTTGTACCAAATACCATAATTGATGGTTCCTTGTAGATACCTAAGGAGTCTCTTTGCCGCTCCATAATGAGTCTCAGTTGTACTTTCCATGAACCTCGAGAGCAAACTTGTAGCATACATGATGTCCGGCCTCGTAGCCGTTAAGTAGAGTAGACTCCCAATCAAACTTCGGTAATTGGTTGCATCCGTCTGCTTTGACCCATCTTCTTTCTTCAATTTTTCATTAGGAACCAGTGGAGTAACGACGGCTTTGCAGTCTTGCATTTTAAACTTCTTTAGCATGTCCTTAATATATTTTTCTTGAGATAAGAATATGCCTTCTTCTTCTTGACTTATCTCCATGCCAAGAAAGTAGTGCATTAATCCCAAGTCACTCATCTCAAAAGTGTTCATCATGTCTCTCTTAAATTCTTCAATTAATTTGGAATTATTTCCCGTGACAATTAAGTCATCAACATATAGAGAGACGATGAGAATGTCAGATTTACCTTGGGATTTGATGTATAGTGTAGCCTCGTTCTTACTCCTCCTGAACCCTTGACGGGTGAAGTATCCATCAATCTTGCTATACCACGCTCGTGGAGCTTGTTTGAGCCCGTAAAGCGCTTTCTTTAGACGAAGAACTTTTCCTTCTTCTTTGATGAATCCTTCTGGTTGCTCCACATACACTTCTTCTCGTAGCTCTCCATTTAGAAAGGCTGACTTGACATCTAGCTGATAAATTTTCCATTTCTTCTGAGCAGCAAGAGCTATGAGTGTTCTTATTGTGTCCATCCGGGCAACTGGTGCAAACGTCTCTGTGTAGTCAACTCCCGGTATTTGAGCATACCCCTTTGCAACCAGCCTTGCCTTATGCTTCTGAATTGAGCCATCGGGGTTCAATTTTGTTTTATACACCCATTTGACTCCAATAACCTCCTTGTTATGTGGAAGATCTACCATTTCCCAAGTATCATTCTTTTCTATCATTTTGATCTCCTCCTCCATTGCTTTAATCCAAACTTTTTCTTTGGAGGCTTCGGTGTAGCTATATGGCTCCAAGGAGCAAAAGTTGCATGTTTCATAGATGTCAGTAGACTCATATAGGTCTGCTAGAGTTCTTACCCGAAGAGGTGGGGACTCTGGTGAGGAGTCGTGATTTCTTGATGTATTAGCTTCAAAAGAGGATCTTGGAGTAGACGTGGGGCTTTGTTGATCGTGATTTTCCTCTTCTGGTATTTCCTCTAGTTGGACAGTAGTTGTCTTTCTTTCAACTTTTTCTGTCTCCCAATTCCAAGAGGCTTGCTCGTCAAACTCCACATCTCGACTTGTCACCAACTTCTTTGTCTCGAGATTGTAGATTCGATATCCCTTGGATTTGGAGCTATAGCCAAGGAAGATGCCCTTCTCTGTCTTGTCTTCTAATTTGTGCCTTTTAACAGAGGGAACATGAATGTAGCATATGCTTCCGAAGACCTTCAAATGTTTGGCTGAAGGCTTTTGTCCAGACCATGCCTCAATAAGTGTTTTGTTTAAAACCGCCTTAGTTGGACACCGGTTTAGAAGATAGACTGAAGTATATACTGCCTCTGCCCAGAACGTTTTAGGCATTCCTTTTTCAGCTAACATAGACCTTGCCATCTCCATGACTGTGCGGTTCTTCCTTTCGGATACCCCATTTTGTTGTGGAGTGTATGCTACTGTTAGTTGATGCTCTACACCTTCATCTTCACAGAACTTGTCAAATTCTTTTGAGTTGTATTCGGTACCTCGATCGCTTCTCAACTTCTTGATTTGATGACCACTCTGTTTCTCCACGAAGTTCTTGAATCTCTTGAATATTCTAAAGACTTCGGATTTTTCTTGGAAAAAATACACCCATGTCATCCTAGAGTAATCATCGATGAAGAGTATGAAGTACCTGTTCTTCGAAACTGAAGGCGTGCGCATTGGACCGCAAACATCGGTGTGGACAAGCTCTAGTATCTGTTTGGCTCTCCATGTCTTTTCTGTTGGAAATGGTTGCCTGTGCTGCTTCCCAACCATACATCCTTCACATACTCCTTCTTTTTCATCCAGTAGAGGCATGTCTCTCATCATCTTCTTTAGGTGTAGTAATCTCAAGGCATTGAGATTGAAGTGCCCAAATCTTCGATGCCATAGACTCGTATCACTCAGTTGAGCCACCATCGCCTTTTGTGGATATTGCCATTGAATAGGAAAATTTCTATTATTTCCCATTTTTACTTCAGCAATTTCTTGATTATTGTTCTTGTCATAAATTCGGCAAGAATTTTTCTCAAAGTGCAAGGCATATCCACTTTCCATCATTTGGCCAACACTTAGTAGATTTTGTGCAAGGCGTGGCACTAGGAGAACGTTTCTAATAAAGCGCGTACCTTTCTTTGTATCTATGACAATGGTACCTTTCCCCTTTGCCTCCACCAAATCGCCATTGCCCATCTTGACCTTTGTCTTGATAGAGGTGTCTAAGTCATGGAAGATGGTCTCGTTGGATGTCATGTGATTGCTGCACCCACTATCGATGTACCACTCTTCTTCTTTTGCTTCTATGGCTGAGTGACATGCGTAGAACATGTACTCCTTCTCCTTAAAATCTTCAGAATAGTTGGCCTGATAGTTTCTTCTATCTCTGCAATCTTTTTCTTCATGCCCGAACCTCTTGCAATTTCTGCATTGTGGCTTTCCTCGATGGTAGCAATCTTTCTCTAAGTGATTAGTCTTCTTGCATATTTTGCATGGTGGAAAGTTCGTCTTCCTCTCCTTGTTATTAGAATTCCCATCTTTATGTGGTTTAAAGTTTTCACCATTTCTCGAGTGATTCCTTTTAATGTTGAGCTTAGACTGGAAGGCACTTTCTAATGAACTTTCGTGTCGTCTGTTTAGCCTTTGCTCACGTGCTTCTAGCGACCCCATTAATTCAGTAATGGACATTTTTGATAGATCTTTTGACTCCTCAATAGCCGAAACTACTGGATCATATTTTTCAGGGAGACTGATTAGGACCTTCTGGATTATTCTCTCGTCGGTTATGTTTTCTCCAAGAGTTCTCATTTCGTTGACTATATGTATAACCCGAGAGAAATAATCTTTTGCCATTTCAGAATCTCTCATCTTTAAATTTTCGAGCTCTCTTCTTAAACTTTGTAATTTAATAGTTCTAACTTTCTCATTTCCTTGAAATTCCTCCTTAAGAATATCCCAAGCTTCTTTTGCCGTAGTAGCACGAATTATTCTCGGGAAAATAGTATCACAAACGGATTGTTGAAAAAGATAGAGAGCTCTAGCATTTTGCTGTTTTTGTTTCTTACGTACCTCGGAAGTTGATGCGTCGTCGCTTCCTTTTTCCGGCATGATGATTCCTTCTTCAACAATATCCCAGAGATCATGTGATTCTAGGCAAGTCTTCATACGGACACTCCAATAGTCATAGCTTTCTCCATTGAACATCGGAGTTGAAACCGAGAAGCTTGATGTCGTCATAATGCCCGCTTATGATCGAACAAGCTCTGATACCACTTGTTAGAAAATAGAAGAGGTTGTTGGTTGTATGAATAGAATAAGTGATTTTAGTGAGGTGTAATGTAGATGATGTGTTTTAGAGGAGAGCTCTTGTCTCTAGAAAAGTAGTATTGTATTGATGTTTCTTGGTTTTGCTTGGTTTGCAAATGAGTACAATGAGTCCTATTTATAGGAGCTAGAGGATCATTCTAGATCCTTATTAAATGCTATGATTCTAGAGTATTCTACATCTATGTCTAATTACTCTAGATTTTACATAAGAATTCTCTAGTAGAGAATTTTCTAGAATACTTTCTAGCTTTAACTCTCTAGATCATCTCTAGCCTTTTCTACATAGAATATTCTAGATAAATGCATCACTATTTAATAGAGAGTACAAATTCTGTAAATACAATAAGCATTAAACTAGCAATATCAACACTTTCTAATTTCAAATTAAAATTACCAATACCGAACTAAAGTTTCTGAAATATGGACTCTTCAATTTGTAGATAACAGAGAAAACCCAAACATGGTAAAAAAAATGAACAAGCAGAATGATGGATTGCGGACATATGTAAACTATGTTTAACATGCATTACCCATATATTCATTCCAACGAAATAAAATAATGAATTTTCCAGATTTTTGAGATACCTTCAGTTGTGGTACGGTGAACAACAATCCAACCTTCGAATGTTGAATAAGAAAGATATTACGCTTTCTGATTGTAGAGCTGAAAGCATTCTTTCTCCATCCTCTGCTGGTGAAGAATCTAAAGATAAGTCAAAAGAGAAGAGACAGTAAAAAAACGGGTAGGGTTATGTATTTTCTTCCCTAAAGATAAGAAATCTGGACAGAGAAGAGTCGTGTAGGTGTTGTAGCAATTAAAATGAATAAGGGAACGGATTGGTAAAAATTAAATCCTGGCCTTTAATTTTATAAGTGGCCATGTGGCATCTTGCTAATAAATCAAATGGACTCCTCCAGTACCGTATGTAGTGGAGAGTGAAGAGGAGCTGGACTCCATACATAGGTGAGTAGGACATAGGGATTGAACTTTTCCGTGCAAGGCATCGGTAAGTGATGATTAGTAAAGTTTTAAGAGGGAGAGAGAGTATGAGAGAAATCGCTCATAAAATAATAAGCTAAGCTGAGGAGTCCGACTTCGTGTACACGCTGGGTTACACGTCGATCAAATTGTCTGTATACAGACAATTTTGATCAGCTAGACACACAATTTGACAGACGTTTTTTTGAAGAATATTGATTTTTATACGGACAAAATATAAAGAGTTGTCCTTATAAAATTACGTGTACATACAAAAGGAATTTTCCTAAGCTGAGGTGATTAGCGATGGCGAAGGCAAGGGTGAGTAGGCACCAATGGAAAAGAACCTCTACGGTGGCTTTGGTGCTCTCCATGCTTCTCATGCTGTCACTTGTGCTTCTGATGCTCCTCGCTCTTGGAATACTCAATGTCCCTATCGGATCTGACGATGAACCCTCATTTACCCGGAGCCGTATCAGATTCAAGCGCTCTGCCTTACATGTGTATGAATCGTTTCATACACACACATGGTACTTGTCGAGTTGAACTATGTAGCTGATCATGGTATCTAATCGAAGACTTGTTTTGATGCAGCGTGGAGGAGGACGGTTTGGGGGAAAGAGGAGAACAATGGACTGAAATTCTTTCTTGGGAGCCTAGGGCTTTTGTTTTTCACAATTTCTTGGTTAGTATCACGTTCATTTGCTATATATTTATGAATACATTGTTTTCCTTCGTATGAATCACACCTCGCACCCCGTTAAGCCGTTCTTATATGGTACATCGGGTTGTATCACAGTCATGTTACCTAGTCAAATTAAAGTTTTAGTAAAATGGGTCATCTTTGTATGAAATTGAGTATCAAACACTCCCTAGACAAAAAAAAAGAAACGACTTCCTTATTTTCAGCTTCATATTGACTAATGACTGCTAGTGTCTAAACTTTTGGCATTTTTCTGACCTTCTTTCTTTCTCTTTATGATGGTTTCGTTTGTCTAAGCGCCTATATGATTATTATATTTTGATATATTTTATTTTCACAATTTTTTCCATGATTTGAGTAAAGTAGTACTGTAGTACGTACTAGTGCACAACTAGTATTATTCTTTGGTCAAAATAAATTTATTTCTTGTATTTTTTTAATAAAGGTTTCCTATAGACTCTTGTTATAAGATTCTCTGATTCTTAAAGTTTCATCAGTAAATTTCAGCCAGGATTAACGTTTGCCATTATGTGATATATCATATATGGCATATGAGCATATCCTTACTAAGCTTAAAGCACTTAGATTATGTGACTCACATATGATTAACTTTATTTTTCCTTGGTGATTATACAGTCCAGGGAAGAATGTGAATACTTAATAAGTCTAGCCAAGCCTCACATGGCAAAGTCAACTGTTGTAGATAGCAAAACTGGTAAAAGTAAAGACAGCAGGTGCTAAATGCTCATACCTCCATTATCTCTTTCCCCCTTTCTGCCAGATATTGAAACAGTATTGATTTTTTCTCATTTCAGGGTTCGTACAAGTTCAGGAATGTTTTTAAAGAGGGGAAGGGATCAAGTTGTTAATAGCATTGAAAAAAGGATAGCGGACTATACATTCATTCCTGTTGGTATGACACCTTGATTATTGCAGATTTGCCATAGCCCATACACTAGTTTACCATGTCATCAAACTAATGGGTACTAAAGTTGTAAAGCTACGGTTATTCTCATGCAAATATCTCCGCATAGAGCGATTCACACTTTTATGGATTATGATTAGAAATAATTACATATATATGACTAAAGTATATGTTGTTTACAAAAAATGACCTCATAAGTGTAACGACTATAGTAGTAAGCAGTAACTAGTAACTTATGTTCAATGTTTACGCTTACGTGACTATGAGATAATACTATAGTAACTATTTGTCATATTTTTGTAAATAACTTTCATTTCAGTAATATTTGTGAAAAAACCCATTATGATTATGTTAATCAAGCAATGAATATGAGTTCTTAGGTCAACTGTTTACATAAAGGTTGCTCACTTTCACTCAGCCACTTCAATTACCATGCCAATTTCATAAAGATTGTAAGGAAACAGGAAAGCTGAAAGGTCTAGTGGGTGGCAAGTACCATGTGGTGAGGTGCCCAAAAGATTAGGTTATTCAGGGATGCCGAGTTCTAGAATTGAGGCATATCTGACACAGTTATGGACCTTTGTAGCATAATGTATTTTACAAACATTAAACTTTTTAGGGAAAACTGTCAAATAGGTCCATGTACTATATGGAAAAAGTCAATTGAGTCCTCGTACTATTAAATCATCCAATCAAATCCTCCAACTACAAAAAAAGAGTCAATTAGGTCTTTCAGCCGGTAAACAACCGGTTAAACGTTAACTTATACACGTGGCTGGTCCATGTGGGAAATTTTTCCTTTTTTCCTTTTTCTTTTTCCCTTCTCTTTCCCTTGGTTTTCTTCTTCCGCCCAAGTCCCGCTGCACAACATCTTTTACAGAGTATGTTATTTCCTCGTTCCTTCTTTCTTCTCTACCCCATCCAATCTAAAGAAGCTTGCCATTTTTTCATCTCCGGAACTTCAGCAAGTACAGAGGAGAACTGGTGCTGCAAACGACGTGGACCATGGGTCTTGCCACTTGCCTCATATCTTCTTCTCCGACTCGGGGCATGCGGACGGAGTTATGCACTGGCTAACTGCTCTTCGGTCTTCTTCTTCTCCATCTGTCTGATTCTATTCAATTCGTTGCTGCAAAACTAGTTGGCACCGGCATGATGGCTGCTGTAATGTCGCATGGAAACAGAAAATGACTGCTGCGATTTCGCCAGAGGTCTTGGGCTATCTTCCACATGTTTACCGACGAGTTTGTCTCCATCGCAGCCCGTCATCCATAGGGAAGGGAATGGTCAGTGTGGTGACTAGGGTGGGGTTGCAAAACAAGAGAGGAGAAAGGGGTCCTGACTCCTGGGTTGCTGGTTGGATGCTTCACCGAAGAAGAAAGTAAGGAGAGAAGAAAGAAAGAGTTGCAGGGAAGAGATGAAAGAAAAAGAGAAAAAGAGAAAGAAAACAAAAAATAAAAAAAAAATGCCACTTGGCGTCCAAGTCACATGTTTTACCGGTGAAACTTCAAACAACCGGCTAAAAATCAAAATTGAATGTTTTTTTAGAGTTCAGGGACTTGATTGAGCGATTTAATAGTAGGAGGACTCAATTGACTTTTTCGATATACTACAAGGACTAATTTGACAGTTTTCCCAACCTTTAAAGATACCAACACATATGTTGAGCCTAGAACTAAGAGATATTTAACTTGTTTTTGACCTTTTTTAATAGAACCTGCTTTCTGTACATTTAACTTTCAAACATTCTAACATAAGCACATATAATGCCCAAGAAATATGAAGAGTTATCAAGCCTGAATTTTAGACAATGTTGAAGAGTACCATTAAATGCCCAAAGGCTCCATGCAATATGTAGATTGAAGAGTTTTTTGCATTATAAAGGCATTTTTAAACTTGTCTAACTAAATATGCCAAAATTATTAATGAGAAAATGATACTATAAACACACATCTAGAATTTTGAACTGTTTACCGATTTTGTCATTTTACTGCCTTCTCTCTATTCATGCTAACTTATGCTTCTGCTTTATCCTCTACCGAACTCTTGCACAATTATATAATAGACTTTATTATAATATTGTTTCTTACAAAATTTACATTATTATGACCATCGAGCTATGACTATCGTATATGATAATAAGGTACTAAATGTACATCTGGCGTCAAACTCAATATTTTTGGGGGGGAATTTGACCTTGCACTTTTTGAGTAATATTGGACTTTGCATCCCATTTTGAAAAAACTTTGACTTTGCACCCCCATCATATAACATTTTGTGAAGAAAAATTTCTGAATGGGGTGCAAAGTCAAAGGATTTCTAAGTAAAATGGGGTGCAAAGTCAAAGGTTTTTGAAAATGGGGTGTAAAGTCCAATATCATCCAAAAAGTGGGGTGCAAAGTCAAATTCCCTTCCCTTTTTTACATGAATTTATAATGTTAACTAAATTTAAAATTGTTTGGAAGTTGGAACCATAATTTATTAAATTTTACACCACTGACCTCAACATAGTTGGGAGATAAATCTCATTTTCTAGCTTACATCAGTTATTAGAGGAGTCTTTTCAACTTCTTTTATTAACTTTTCCGTGAGCTCCCTAACGTGAAAGTAACTGACTCAGAGAATGGTGAAGGTCTACAAGTTCTCCACTATGAGGTTGGACAAAAGTATGAGCCTCATTTTGATTATTTTCTCGATGATTTCAATACGAAGAACGGGGGACAACGTATAGCTACTCTACTCATGTATCTGTAAGCTATTCCTCCATTATTGTGTTACTCCAGTAGCATTTGATGCCTCCGAGCATCATTATATATACTTGTGCTGCACGGATACAAAATGCAAGGATGTTAAACAAAATGCACTATATATGCGGGGACTAAAAACATATTTGAATCAAATTTTTAAGAGTTTGAAGACATATATTAAAACTTGAATTTAGTTTCACTTAGTTGTAACTCTACTAATAAACAGCCTCCAAAACTTTTAAAAAGCCGAAGTGAAAAGTTTAGTGTGGAATTATGCAAGCTACATTAATTTTTTCTTATACGGTGATTACCCGAGAGTTAGAGAGAGGCTTAAAAGAAAATAGTGTATATTGCAGGGATGGAAAAAAAATTGCAGTGATCTATAACAAAAGGTGCTATATTTGCAGGACTGAAATTTATTGAAGCCAATGAAAAGCGCATTTTGAAGAAGTTCTTGTAGAGCTCTCAAGAATTCTTTGAAGTGTTACTTTCTGAGTGCATCATATACATTTAGAAGTGTTGTTCAAATGCTATATTATTGCATGAATTCATTATATATGGTGGGACTTGTGCAGTTCAGATGTTGAAGAAGGGGGTGAGACTGTTTTTCCTTCCGCAAAAGGCAATTTTAGCTCTGTGCCTGGGTGGAATGAGATGTCAGAATGTGCTAAAAGGGGCCTTTCTGTGAAACCAAAAATGGGGGACGCATTACTCTTTTGGAGCATGAGGCCTGACGGGACTTTGGATCCATCAAGTTTGCATGGTAATAATAGTTCCTTCTTTTTAAAATGTTTTGCCACATTCATATTGTGGTGCACCTCTCTCTGTATTGCCGCCAAATCTTACCTAAAGAGAACTAAAGAATTAGGGCTGAGAAAGCATTAGGGATAAGGGATTTGAATTTCCCATAATATAAGATTCTGTGAGAGAAAATTAGTTGGTAAGAGCATCCGTAGTTGAGAAAGCCTCTTCTTTAATAAGCTCCAGCGGGCCAAAATGACCCGAGTCATTATGCCATTTATAGCGGCCTTCATGAGATTGTCTGGTAGGTTTCCTTGATTGTGAAAAATCATTTTGGTTCTATTTACTCCAGGTGGTTGCCCAGTGATAGGAGGAAATAAATGGTCTTCTACTAAATGGATGCATGTTGGTGAATACCATGTCTGAATGTATATGGGCTCTCTAGTTTGTTTATTTGATGGATTGACGGACACTCAATCTGATTTTTGTAATTGTCAAATTCCATATTCAGAATTGAATGTCCAAACTTTACAGCATTTCCCCTTAGTTAGCTTCCTTAAAATTCAAAACCTTATACGGAGTATGTTTAAACAGCCAAAACAGGCATGCATTGTATAGACGTATAGTCTGTATCTAACACTATTTAACATTAGTGGAAAAACGTTAATTGGAGGCGTTAAACCCGCCTAAAGCTATGTTGTACATCATTATAAGGAGCGCAAATTATACCGTACACCCGGATGTACGGTCCTCACCGTACATCCGGGTATTTTTGTAATTGTTTTTTATCTGCAGGTAGCTCAGTTCGTTCGTTCATCCCTCGTATGCTCTTTTTTATTTTTCGCTGCCAGCTTTAGTCCACTACGCGCAACCATATCTGCTATCTTCCGTTTGACTTTTCATTTTGCTTTCACGTAACTCTGATCTTTCTTTTTAATTTCTTTTTCCCTTTTTGTTTTAACACCTTTTCCATTGATTTTACCTTTAATTTATGATGTATGTCTAAGGTATTAATGTTTTATATTTTATTTTTAGTTTAAGATGAATATTTATTACTTTATTAATTATTTGAGGTATTAATGTCTTATTTTTTATTTTTAGTGTAAGATGAATATTTATTAGTTTATTGAATAGTATGTACTAATTACTAATTAACATTAGTTTTATGTTATACTAAAATGAGTATAGTGTAAAATAAATAGCATGGGTAAACATTATAAAAAGAACCCTATTATATTTGTAATTCCAGAAAGAAAGACTATAAATTATTTTTACTTTAAAATTATTATATTTGTCATTATTATGTTTGTCATTATGATACATGTGCAAAAATGAACATCTAAACACATTAGAGAATTCAAACGAGCTTTTGAATTTTTTTATGTTAATTTTGTAAGTTACGTATGTTCATCTGGTATTGGTTTTATGATCATTTTAAAATGTCATATTAATGTATATTTCAAAAGTTTCATATTGGATTCACATGGGGGCATAGATCATATTATCATAATACTAAATTGCATACTTCTGATACTCAATAGAAGAGATTTGATGTTCAATGAAATGTCTTGATGCTCAAAGCTTGTGATTTTCATATTATTGCTCATTTAGTGCGCTTTGTATGCTCATTTGGTAATGGATCTATGCTCATTTTAAAATGCTATATCAATGCATACTTTAAAAGTATCGTATGACATAATATTTACGTATTGAAGTTTCATAGGAGTTGTGTATAGATATAATTTCATAATTTTTTATAAAGGAAAAAATAAGAAAATGAAAGTGAATATAAGATTTGAAGTAGAGATCTCGATTCTCAATATCAGACTCCTAATACTCAACAGAATTGGTCTGATGCTCAGTAAAAATTTATTAATGCTCATTTAATAGAAACCATGAATTTCATCTTAATAGAGGATGTTTGATGCTCAATAAAATGTCGTGATGTTCAACTAACAACTTTACATTTTTCATATCAATGCACATTGTGTAAGTTACATATGCTCATTTGGTACTGATTTTACGCTCATATGTAAAATGTCATATCAATGCATATTTAAAAAGTGTCATACGGAGTATTAAATTAAATTCGCATATCACGGTTTCTAGGGAATGAGCATTCATAAAATTTTAATGAGCATCAGACCTATTATGTTGAGTATCAGGAGTCTAATTATTTTGAAATATACATTGATATAACATTTTCAATTGAGCATAACACCAGTACAAAATGAGCATATTCCCTTGAGCATATTCACTTACCAAATGAAAAATGATAGGGAAATCATAAGCTTTGTTAGTTGATCATCAACACATTTTCATTGAACATCAATCTTCTCTATTGAGAATCTGAAACATGCAATTGGGTATCATTATCTTTGCTCTCGAGTCTATAAGACTATAATCAACTTTCATGCGAATCTAATGTAATATGATAGTTTTGAAATATGCATTGATATAACATTTTAAAATGAACACAAAATCAATATCAGATGAGCATACGTAACATACAAAATGAGTATCGAAAACTTTACAAGCTCAGCTCATTTAAAAATCTCTAATGTGTTCAAATATTCACTTATTTCAATGAGATATTTACAAGTGCAACAAATAATGAGATATTTCATCAAAAGAGGAATAGACCTTCACTCTGTAAATTTTTCAAACAGTTGGCAGACATTCAATTTTTTTATACAAAAAATAAACAATTTATTTAGAAGAATGTAGAATGCAACTGATTTCATGAAATTCAGATAAGAAACAACAAGAAAATAATAACTGATTGAATTCAAATATTCAATGGAATATAATTAGTACCCTTACTCAACAATGCTATATATACACACACAAGATTATGATTTTTGAACATATCTACTCTGTCCATTTTATTCCAGCACTAAATACTTAGATAGTAGTGATTGCAGACATTACGGCCGTTTTGTTGAAGGAAGAAATGCAGCAAGTTCACCCATCAATTGAAGAAAAGCAGCTCTGAGATCAGAGAAAAGTTTGCTTCCTCACAGGACTTGATCGCGGGGAGTCCAAGCTCCGCAGCAGTAGCTAATTCACAGTCAATATGAGCTCCTCTATCGGATTAGACGGCGGATTCTGAGCTTTGAACTTCAGAGTTCAGACTGCTAGATTAAAGGGGATGAGAAGAGTAAATAAAGCTGAAAGTTAAGTAAAATTACAAAAATACCTGATGTACGGTTCTCACCCGTACATCCGGGTGTATCATATAGGAACTGTATAAGGAGTGCCTCCAATTTTTAAGTTTCTTTTTTTAATTTTCATAAAACAAGATACCTGTCATAACAAAATAATGTATAAACAAAACCATACAAATTGGTTCCCGGCACCATAATAAAATTTGAAAGGGAGAATTCCCGAAATAGGACTAAATGAAACTTTAGTTGCCAAAATAGGACCATAACTTACAAATTCCCCAAATAAGACTAGCTTTCCAATTCTACCCTTTCTTTGTTTTAATACAATTCATATTTTATTAATAATTAAAATATAAAGTAATAAACATAACTTTATTTATAATAAAATGAAAAATGAAAAATAAAAATATGAAAAAAAAATTATTTAAAATTAATAAAAATAAAAAATTCAAAAAAAAAAATTTTAAAATAAAAAAATTTAAAAATAAAAATAAAATAAATAAATAATGTAAAAAACAAAAACAAAAAATATGTAGGCCTATGCTGCCGCCTAAGCAACCTCTCAGCACCACCAGCTCCGATCACCTGGAAAAAATGCCAACATAAATATAATCTTGATGGCAGTTTTCGAGAAAATTTTTGGCATTTTCAAGAGAAAAAAATGTCATTTTCATGTCATTTTCAAAGAAAACGTTACAATTTTTTACTAGGGCTGGCATTTCAAACCGAAAATCGAACCGAAAAAACCGAATTGTTTTGAAAAAAAACCCGAACCAAACCGAACAAAATTGAGACACAAAAAATTGGGACCCGAAAAAAATTGGTTCGTGTTCGGTTTTTGTACACAAAAGTCAGTTTGGACCGAACCGGACCGATAATTTTATATTAATAAAAATAATTAAATACATTCTATAAAGATATAATAAAACGTGAAGCATGTAATTGACGAAGTAGACGTGATGCATGGATGGATGGGCAACAAAACGTACAACCGGGTGATCAGGGAATTGATTCCCGTCGCCGTGTCCCGGTTTTTGTTTTGTGATTTTGATTTTATCCTACACTACTTTATCGCACACCGGAAAAGGTGAGCTTTCTCACTCCTATAACCATCTATATAAACCGATCTCCTCACTAATCTTTAAGCAGCAGCCGCTACGTAAGCTAATATGCATACAGAGGCTTCCATCGCATATATGGGCTCAGAAATGGGCAAGTTCTGCGTCATTCAATTATGGTTAATAGTTCAAATTTATTTATTCCTAATTCCTAATATTGAGTCGGTTTCTTTCGGTTTCTGAAAATTCGGGTACCAAAAGTCGGGACCTGTTTTAAGATTGGTTCGGTTAAGGTAAATTGGATAACCAAAAAATTGGTTCGGTTTGTAAATCTATAGGATTGATTTGGGACCCGATTAGAGATCATCCAGTCCTAGTTTTTACATAAAATTGCATTGTTGTTAGACGATTAGAGATTAAGTTGATGGGCAGTAGTCGAGACTTTTTACATAAAATTGCATTGTTGTTAGCCGATTAGAGATTAAGTTGATGGGCAGTAGTCGAGACTGGGGAAAGGCCTCCATGTTTTTTTTTATTTATTTTTAAAGTTTTTAATTTTTATTATTTCGGATTTTTTAAAAATAATTTAGAATTTTATAATATTTTTTTACGATTTTTTGTATAAGTTAAATTATTTGTTATTATTTTTTGTATTTATTACAAATTAAAATATGATTATCCTATTAAGTTATGGTAAGGGTATACTTTAGTCGTATTTGGGGTAGATAAATAACATAGTCTTATTCGTGCATTTAGGGATTAATTTAGTCCTATATAGTGCTATTCCATCAATTTAAAATTGTTTCATTACAAACTCATTAATGAATAACAAATATTACAAAAGCAACTCTACAAAAGTTTAAACTTAACAAATTCATACTCCCTAAACTTAACATAGTCATATTCGTGCATTTAGGGATTAATTTAGTCCTGCTAACTATCTATCTGGTTGAACTAAGCATTATCTATATATACATGACTATAATTGGGATAAACATGTGCCTCTTTTAAATGTTCCTTGATCTACAAATGACTAGTATCTTCCTTCTCTTCCTATCAACTAAATATCTGAGCTTTCAAAATGATGACACCAAATATTTAATTTAAAGTTCATCAACCAAAGATCACAGAGCTCATATATATACTATGTAATGTTTTAGCATATTGTGAATTCAATGATTGATATCAGCAAGGTATTACATTTCTAAAAAGTAGTACTTCGGTAGATTTGCTCAAATTCATGCTTTCACCTCCAATAAATTCAAATGAACATGGTTATATATAGAAGAATGCCATTAATTTATGCCAAAATTAAAATCTAGCATGCGTTCACGATTAAACGTATACATATACAGACCTTTTCAATAAGATCAAGACATCAACGAACTCTATGTAGCTCCAAGCCTCAAAGCAATTTCTTCACTGGTGCATGTACTCTTCTTGCTCCATTTTGAAGACATGAGACACTAGAAAATAACACTATCAGAGATTAAATTACCT